GCCACATGTGGCTCTTTGGCCCCTTGAGTGTGGCTCTTCCACAAAATACCACATGCAGGCGTGCACGTACAGTGCGATTGAAACTTCATGGCCCATGCGCAGAAGTCGGTATTTTGTGGAAAAGCCACATTCAAGGGGCCAAAGAGCCGCATGTGGCTTGCGAGCCGCGGTTTGCCGACCACTGCCCTAGCCTCTTCAGCAGCCATTGAAGCGTCACCGCCTCCCCCGGGGTGGTGGTGGTGGTGGTGGTGGTGGTGGTTAGAGAGCCGGAAGAGGAGGATGAGCCTAGAAATGGGTGTTGGACGGAAGGGAGGACAGTGCCCGTGGCTACTCCAGAGCCCAGTGGGGCAACTGCTTTCGCACCCCCAAAGCCACCCTCAGTTCCACCGGGACCCTGGGTGTCAGTGGGACTCAGAAGGTCCGAGCTTGAGGAGGACCCTCAGAGACCATTGGGTTCAAACCCTCTTGGGGAGGTGGAGACAGAAGCTTCTGGAAGCTAGATGGCTTGCCTGAAGTCACCGAGTGAGCAGGCAGCTGAGCAGCGAGTGGAAGCTTGGCTAGACCCCTGGGCTCGATGTTGGGCAGGGCGCTGCCAATTCTCCTTGCTCCCAGAAGGGGGCGATGTGTCACAGATAACCCACAGCGGCAGCCACCTGGGGCGGTCTGGGCCTGTCTGGGTTGCACTGAGCCCATGGCCAGGGCATCAGGGATGCTCGTGTCTTGCTGAGGTTCTGCTGGGGCAGGGGGGGACGAAGCTGGGCTTAGAGCCCCCCAGGAGAGAACGCAGAGTAGGGAGAGGCCGGGGAGGGGCCTGCAGGAGTTCTGGCAACGGAGACTTCGGAAGGGGGAGCCAGGGGGGTGTTGGGGCTGCACATCATGAAAGGCCCTGATTACAGGCCGGAACTGGATCCGATGTGTGGGAGAGAGCGGGGAACATTCTCCTCCAGCTGCTCCCCCACCCCCGCCCCCTGCATCTGGGCTTCTCTGGGAGAGGAGCAGACAGATGGCAACGTGGAGAAGGAAGAAGGAAGAGGTGGGGGAGGGGGCATGAGGCGCCGGGTCTCTGTAAGGAAAGCGTCTGGGATGGGACCCTGCATGGCCAGGGGGATCCGAGGGCCTGACACGCAGTCCGGGAGCGGGGACGCGAGGTTCTGACCCTCTCCCTTTGCAGGGGAGCTGTACATTGGTGGTCTGAGCAAGAACATGTTCAGCAACCTGCCCAAGCTGGTGGCCTCCCGGGATGGCTTTCAGGGCTGCCTGGCCTCGGTGGACCTCAACGGCCGCCTCCCGGACCTCATCGCAGACGCCCTGCACCGCATCGGGCAGGTGGAGAGGGGCTGTGACGGTGAGTGTGGGGGGAGGAGGAGTGTGACCCGCAGCTGCAGGAGGGCCAGCTGCCCAGGCAGACCAGGCGGCCAGGTGGCCTTCCCTCTCAGGCCTTGCACGAGCCTGCCCCCAGCTCTGGAGCTGGGGTACCGGGGCTGAAGGGTCACTTGCTCTCCCTGTTGCCTCCCACCCTGGCCCCTTATCACAGTTCAAGGCCAAGCCTGGCAGTCCTTGAGCCCCCCCGTTCCCACGCCCACCCCTCAGCAGTACTGGCCCCTTCAGCCTGGAAGACTGAGAGCCGGACCCTGCCTGGCCCTGAGGCTGCCGTGCCTCCCGGGCAGGGCGGGGCGTGGCTGAGCGGGTGTGTTCCTCCTGCTTCTCCCAGGCCCCAGCACCACCTGCACCGAAGAGTCTTGTGCCAACCAGGGCGTCTGCTTGCAGCAGTGGGATGGCTTCACCTGTGACTGCACCATGACTTCCTACGGGGGCCCTGTGTGCAACGACCGTGAGTGCCGGCGGGCGCCCTGGGGGCAGATCCCGGCCTGGGGGCTGCTGGGGAGGCCCTCTGAGCCTCGATGCTCGCTTCCTTCTCACCCCTTCTCACGAGAGCCAGGGGAGCTGCTGGCGACTGCCCCGCAGCCTTCTCTCTCGGGCCTGAGCGGGTCTGCGGCTGCCTGACTTCCCAGGGCGACCCATTGCTAGCTGGACCCTCTTCTCCGTTCTGAGCTGGTGGGACATGGCTCCCTTCACCCATGACCAAAGGCGTCAGCCTCTGCTGCTCTCCCCATGCGATTTTGGCCATGGGCTCACGTGTTGCATGTGTAGCTCCCACATCCACACTATTGCACAGGGCGGGGGCTGGTCAGCCTGCACCCCCTTCCCTCGGTGCCCCCAGAGTTACACCGTGGAAGCCTGTTATCTCCTCCAGAGGGTCCAGGCCCCGCAGGCAGGCTCAGGAGGTTCCCTGGAGGCCAGGCGGCTGGACAGCTGGCTTCCCTGGACGTCGGCCGAGCCCTTCTCTTTCCCACCCAGAACCCCAGCGGCAGGCTGTCTCTTGGAGCCACAAGGACACCCCCTAGCGCCCTTGCCTGCTCCTCTGCCCCTGGTTGCCCCTTGTTTGACCCGCCCCCTCCAGGGCAGCGTCAGCAGCAGTTTGCAGTCCCTAGTGGTTGGTGGCCAGCAGCTGGTGGCAGAGGACAGCTGGGGCAGGAAGGCGGGGGCAGCCTCCACCTTGAGGGGGTTTTTGGAGTTTCCCTCTGATGATGGGGAGCGGGCGGGGCGGCCCTGCTGAGAGACCAGGGGTGTGAGCACTGAGCTTCGTGGGGAAACACACACACACACACACACACACACACGGGGGGCACACACACACACACACACACACACACACGGGGGGGACAGGGCTTCTCCCTCCACTGTACCAACATGAAACCCGAGGCCCGGAGGGTGAGTGGATCTGGAGGAAGTTCATAGTAGACCTGGGGTCGGTGCCTTTGCCTCTGTGTCCCCCGCGGCGCCTTGGACATTAGGGCGGAGGCCTGTGCTTCCTGTGGAATGGACGGTGCCGGGATGGGCTCCGGGGTGGGTCATGGTTCTCCCTTCCTTGGCACTTCCTGGTGCTCTCGGGCAGGGCCGCCCTTGGGTACCTCCACATCCCTGCCCCGTCCCCCAGGATTTTCCTCATCTGACCTGCCGTTCTGTGCAAAGCCCCCGGGCCATGGCCAGCTGGGCACTGCAGCCCGGGCTGCCGGAGTGCAGATGGGCTGGGCCGGCCCCTTCCCTGCAGCTCATTCAGCTGCGCTCAGATCTGAAGACGCGGCACGTTGCTGCCAATAGTAACAGCCCGCCTGATTGGTTAGTGTTTTGGAGCCTGCAAAGTCCTCGTAACTTGTTTCTCGGAGAAGGCAGTGGGGATAGGGCTGACCGTCCCCCTGAACCGAGGAGGAAACCGAGACCTCAGCCAGGCAGCTCCTTGCCGCCAAGGCTCCTGACTCCCACTCATGCCCTCATCTAGTCCCTGGGGGCCTTGCTGGCGGGGTGCCGGGGTCAGGATGAGGAAGCACGCTGCCCATTGTCGCTACTGTCCTCCCATAGGGTGGAGCCTTCTGGAAGGGGGCATAGAGATGGGCGGGGCTCAGGGGGTCATGCTGAGGTGGGCAAAGAGGTGGGACTTCTCCCGGCATGGGAGGCAGGGAGAGTTGGGGCTGGGGGAGTGTCCCCTACAGCGACACTGGTCTGCAGTCTGGCGGCAGAGCGTGGAGATAAAGACAAGGTGGGTGCGACCTGGAAGCCTCCATCCGCGGGCCCTGGGCACCTCTGAGATCTCCCCTGAAGGACAGGGCGACAGGGGTCACGCCGGCCCTGGGCACCTCTGAGATCTCCCCTGAAGGACAGGGCGACAGCGGTCACGCCGGCCCTGGGCACCTCTGAGATCCCACCCTGAAGGACAGGGTGACAGGGCAGGAACCTGGTCGTCGGGGACTGTGCCCCTCTCCTCCCGGGTTGTGCCTCCTCCCGACCTCCACGCTTGGCCCCATGTCACGTTCATGCTGTCCCTCTGGGGCTGGTCTTCCCGGGGCCCTGGGGTGCACAAGGTCAAGCAGGAAACTGGCCGAGGCCCGTTCCGTTGTCCCACCCCCGAGTGTGAAGGTCCTGGGGCACCACTGGGCACCAAAGGGCCCTTCATCCGCAGAGAGGGAGGGGGTGGGAATGGCCGGGTGCTGGCCCGGACCCTGTCCTTGGACGGGTGGGGTTGGGGTGGAGCTGTCTGGGGGATGAGACAGGGATGAAAGAGGTGCAACCTGCAGGACGGTGTTTCTTCTCTTACGGCCTCGGCTTCTCCATCTGTGACATGGGACCGCACCAGGTGGGCGTGGTGAAGGGGTTGTGTTCCTTCAAGGCTCAGGAGTCTGCTCTGGGAGGCAGGAGAGAGAGCCAAGGGAGAGAACCCATCTCTTCGATGAGAACGGGAGAGTGGAGGGAGAATGGAAAGGAGAACATGAAATGAGAAAGGAAGGAAGCTAAAAGGAGGGGGGCCTGCAGCGGAAGTGCAGGGCTGGGGGTCAGGACCACGGCGCTCCCGGGGGCCTGCCTGCTGCTCTGTCTCCCCTGCACTCGGTTCTTCACCATCTCGGCCCCTTCACATCTCTCCATTTGCTTGGTTCCTCTCTGCAGCCTCTATTGATCTCTGCACACCTCCGTCCCTCCCTTCATTTGTACCCCTGTCCCCCTCCCCCCTCCTGCTCTCGTCACTTCCCACTCACTGGTATTGATTGGCCTCCAGGCGGTTTCCCTTCCTCTCCTCTGGCTACCAGCTCCTCCCTCCTCCCTCTGGGGCCATAAACCTGCTGCCTGCTCCTGCCTGCTCCGAGCTGTGTCAGTCTGTATTTCAGAGCCAGGGGCACAGGAGTGGGGTGGAGAGGGCAGCGGGACAAGGCTGGGGGGGTGTCCCAGCCCCGTTCCCCAGCCTGCATGCATCTCTCCTCCCTCCTGGGGCCATGCACCACCTGGGATCCTCCTCCTGGTACCTCTGAGGACCCCTCTCTTCACTCCTGTAGGGCCAGGGTCAGAGGGACCTGGCATCTAGCAAGGTGGGGTGTGGCAGGAGCTACGGGAAGCTGGCCCGGGGCCTGACAGCATCCGGGAGCCGGGCACAGCGTGCCACGCGTGGGGCTACTGGTGGTGGTTTTGCTCCGAAACAGAATTCAGAATCAATAAGCAGGAGTCAGCCCTCTCTCCCCCTGGTTCTCCCTCCCCTTCTCACATCACCCCCTTCCTTTTGCCCTGTCACCGCTTCTCCTCACTCCAGTCCACTATTTCTTTCACTCCTTTCTAGGTTCTGTCTCTACCTCCTTCCTTCTCTCCCCCTGCCCCCATCCTAGCAGAGCACCCTCGGGCGGACCAGGTTGCTGTGGATGTGGAGGTGGATCCAGATGAAGGGAAGGGGGCACTTACCTCTTGGGCTAAGACAAGTGCTTCCCGAGATCCCCAAAGTCTGGGGGTGGGTCCCAGCGGAGGGGCACCTGGAGGGAGAAGTGACGCCTCAGCTGTACTTAGTGGCCCAGGAAGCGTCTGTCCAGGCAGGACACTCAGTGGACAGCTGCCCTGGAAACTCTGGTGGAGGGAGAGGCTGAGGCTGGGGGCGGGGCGGGGGAGAGGAAGGACGAGTCCCAGGTGTGCAGGAGGTTGGGGCACCCTTTGGGGAGGTGGGAGGAGACTGAGTGCTGTCTTACTCCTGAGGGCCTTTGAGGCCCTGGGTGCATTGTTTGTGTGCATATGGGTGACCCTGTTTTGGGAGGGTGAGCCAGGGGCAGTGTCTGTGCGTACTTGGCCATTGATTGCCTGTGGCCAAACATGTGTGTGTGTGTGTGTGTGTGTGTGTGTGCTTCTGTGAGCGTGTGTACATGCTCGGCCGAGTGTGAGTTCATGTGCCAGCCTCCGAGAGCACATGCATGCATGTATGTGTCTGAGCTTGTGTGTGCATGCGCGCGCCCGCACAATGATGCCTGTATGGGCACGTGGGTGTCTCCGTCCCCAAGCCGGGCCACATCCTAGCGTCCGCGTGTTCTGAGGGGTGCGTGCAGCGGTGCGGTGGCCACCTCTGCGCGCTGGACCAGCGAGCACCATTGGGGTTCATCCAGGTGCGGGGGGAGGGGAGGAGAAGGAAGAGAGAAGCCTC